CCTGGAGGAGCACTGCCCAGGAATCGCAGTCCAGACTCAAGTCCTAAAGAACTGAAGTCAGTATGGAACCTGGATGGAGGCATGCAAAAGAGGATGGTTCTAGGCAGAGGGCTTTTTCGTGTATTTGATAAACGTCTACTGGGCATCCACTATCTGAGGAGATACTGGTCTGTGACCTGCAGACGCAGCAGTTTCTGAAACAGGGCTTGTGTTCTGTCGCAGAAGTCAGGGGATAAACAATTGGAAATATATAAAAAGGTAAACACACAGCATGAGAAAGGGTTTGAAGCAATAGGAAGCAATGGCTGGCTGGGCTGGATAGTGTGGTCAGAGATGGCTTCTCTGGGGAGGGATACTGAAAAATCAGTCATAAGAACATGACTCTAGAATGTTCCAGGCAGAGCAAGAGCAAATTCCCTGAAACTGAACCAGGTCAGATTTGTAAAGTCCAGGCAAGTGGAGGCAGTGTCGAATGACAAGGAAGGCAAGGATAGTGAGGGAGGCCAGATCTTTACGTGGCCTTGAGCGCCATGGCAAGGGCACAGGGAGGGTTTCAAGGCATGCCATAGACTTGGCCTGATGATTTTAACAGCTCACAGGGCCTGCTGTGGTGAGAAGAATGGGCTGACTGCAGGGGGCCAAGACTGGCAGCAAGCAGCTTGCAGAGGATGGGGCCGGGTGGCAGCGGTGCTGCACACAGCCAGGGTGGGTTCCTGGGGTGTCTGCTGGGAACTGGAAAATCATTTTCCAGCCCTTCTGGTCCCCGGAGCCATGCTGGGCCCCATTCCACAGCTGCTCTCCTGGAAGTCAGGAACTAAGACCCCTCATTGGTGGTGTGGTCTGTGTGATGGCAGGGGCTAGGGACCACAGGGAGGCCTGGGCACAGTGGGGAAGAGCCTCCCAGGGGTGCCCCTAGGACTAGATGTTTCTAAGAGGTCAGCAAGGGGGCAGTTGGTGCCTCTGGAGCTGCGGGTGACTTGGTGAGTTGGGATGAAGGAAAGGCATTCTCTCAGACAGGTTGGACACCCGACAGACCCTGCTGTGGACACAGTTTCCTGGGCTTCTCTGATCCACCTAGAGAGATGCTGGCGTCAGCATGCCCAGCCAGCTGGCAAAGCACTCCCTTCTGGTTCTGTACATCAGCTCGGCCGTCTCCCAGCTGTGAGGAGTGGAGAAACAGTTGGGTTGAACAGCAGGAGACAGAGAGATGCCTACTATCTGCTCTTCGGTGATATAGCTTTCGACTCATAACTCTGTAGGTTAAGAAGGGGGTGGTCAGGGTAGAAATATTCTCAGTATTATTTTTATGGCAATTGTGATCACTTCTAAGTGCTAGCACCCATAAGCCCTTTAAGTATATTTTCTCATTTGATTCTCACAACGATCTATAAAATACACACTATTCTTATCCCCATTTTACAGATGTGGAAACAGAGTCTAGGGTCATAATACTGTTACTGGCCCTGGCCTTTGGGCTCTTTAATTAATAGAAATTGATGAAGCCAGATGAAAATGTCAGGCAAGGCTTTACTGGGGCTTGCGCTGCAGCACAAGGGAACCAAAGCAAGAAACAGTTACTCTTGCCCAATCCCAGAGAACTGCTTGGGTCCTTGGGTAACAATGTGCACAGGTCCATGGATTGGGCAGGAGACAAAGTTTAAGTGGTCTGTCTACCCCCTTGGTGGGTGGGATCATGTGTAGTGTCTGCTTTTGGCACCTCAGGTATGGCAGTTGATTTGTGGCCTTTTTTATCCTGTTGCTTGAAATTGCCCCCATGGTTTATGCATGCAGTTATTTTTAGTTTTTTTATAGTTTAGTTTTTTATAGTTTTAGTTTTTTAGTTTAGTTATTTTTAGTTATTTTATAGTTTTCTGGTGGGCTTCCCATGTGGCACTAGTGTAAAGAACCTGTCTGCCAATGCAGGAGGCACAAGAGATGTGGGTTGGATCCCTGAGGTGGGAAGATCCCCTGGAGCAGGGCATAGCAACCCACTCCAGTATCCTTGTTTGAAGAATCCCATGGACAGGGACCCTCGTGGGCTACAGTCCATAGGGTCGCACAGAGTTGGACATGACTGAAGCGACTTAGCACGCATGCATAGTTTCTTTGTATCCTACTGCTCCAGGAGTCTTTGTCCAGGAGCAAGCTCTCTGGCTGAAGATCCTGGGTCCCAGGCTATCTCAGTACTAGTCAGTGTACAAACCAGTATCAGAACCCAAGCAATCTGGCTGCAGGTATATCTGCAACATTATACTAGCCTTAGCTTGGGCAGGTGAGGGGACCCACTGGGGGCTGAATGGGGCACTTTAGGGGTATTATTTGGAGACTTTGCTCCAGTTGAATTGACATGATGTTAGTGGGGGAGGACTGAGGTTGAGGTGACCTAGGAATGCTGGAACCAGAAGGCAGAAGAATTCTATCAGAGAACATCAGAAAATAGAAGCCACTGGACCATCTAGCTGGGGCATATGGGGTGGTGTACTGCTGGGGACATCAGTTATTTCTGCCTACCCAGCACTAATCCTCCCCTTTCATTTTCCCTTAAAGGAAAGTCAGGGTGAGCTGACTTCATCCCCAGCTCAGTGGTGGGCATAGGACCCAGGTGTCATCAATAAGGGTGATAGGATTTCTGTAGAACCATCAAGAAAGAAGTGTTTTTCCTTTTCTGTGGGTCTTAGCCTGGTAGGATGTTGTTGGCCACACTGTCTGAGAATCAAGCCCACAGAGAAGAAAGCAGAACTGAGATACAGGGAGGGAGATTCCTGACAAGATTGCTGGATCCACCCATACCTGCAACACTTCTGGACATTTTGGATATGCTAAGATTAATCCTTGTACTGCTGAAACCTGAGTGGGATTACTGTCACTTGCATGGAAAAGACACAGGTGCCTCTCTCCAAAGCCAGCCAGTTCCATGCTAATGGGAACTCAGGGTGTGACTTCTGCACCCAGCCTATTCTTCCTCCTGGGCTCACGGGTCAAGAGCTGCATGTGTGTCTGTGTATATGTGTGTGTATGTGTCTCTGTGTATATGGGTCTGTATATGTCTGTGTATATGTGTCCGTGTGTGCATGTTTCTCTATGTCTCTGTGTGTCTGTGTGTTTACGTGTCTCTGTGTATATGGGTCTGTGTATGTCTGTGTATATGTGTCTGTGTGTGCATGTTTCTCTATGTCTCTGTGTGTCTGTGTGTTTACATGTCTCTGTGTGTGCCTGTAGCGTATATGTGTGGAGGGTGATGTGCACAATGCTGGTGCTCGGATGGGCCTGTCCTGCAGTGGGGGGCCCTGGGCTCCAGGTTCTGGAGCTATGGCAGAGATGACATTGGATGAGGTGCTGCGAGGTGCTGGCTCTTCCTTTTCCATACTGGCTGTGCAGTGGCTGAATCTCAGGGCCGAGCTTGCCCCCATCATCTTGATGAGTGGTACCCCTGTATCACGGAGCTGGTATAACCAACCCTGGGCCCACATTTCTATGCACAACCTTTTCCTGCTGTTATGTTTTTCTTTTTTTTATCTCAAGTGGCCTTGGTCTGCAGAGACTTGAAGCAGGGCTTTGGTTCCCTGGCCAGAGATTGAGGTTGGGTCACAGTAGTGACCGAATCCTAGCCACTAAACCAGTGGTCAGTAACAAGGCCTTGGGCTTTCAGCTTTGCATAAAAAGGATTCCCACAGAGATGGAAAGTAGTGAAACAAATAAAGTACTTATTAGGAGGAAAAAGAGAGTACACATGGACAGACACACAGACAGACTCTGAGAGAGTCCCTGAGTCGTGCCCTCGTGGTGGTTTGAATCACTTTCATGGGGCATTTCTTCTGGCTTTCCTTTGGTGAGTCATTTTGACTTGCCTGGTTCAGAGTGCATGCTTGGTATAGCTCAGGGTCCTCCCGTGTGTTCTCACGCATCTTTTAGCCAAGATGGATTGCACCGCAGAGGCATATTCATAGTGAGCATCAGTATCACTCCTCTTTTGACCTGCAAGGAGACTTTCTGCATCTATGCAGTTGAGGATCATAAATTTCTCATGCTCTGATTTTAAGAATGAGAAATATACGGTCTGAGAAGGGCCCAACCTCCTCTCAATTGTCCTGCCATTCTTGTCTTGGAGTATCAGTCCGTGGGGCATGAATCTCCAACTGCTTTACCCTGGGGGCATCTACCTCCTGTCTCATTTTCAAGAAAGAATAATTCCAAGCCTCCTTTAATGATCTAGGTGAGTGGTTCCTAAGTGAGGATCCACTAGTCAAATTGAGCCCAAATGCTTCTCTTATTTGGTCCAAAGAGTGTTTAAAATTTTAAGAATGTTAAAAATAAATTTCCAGCTTTAAAGAATCAGGGAATTCCATCTTCAAAAAAATCCCTATTTCTGGGTTTTCTTGAAAAAACGAGATCTAAGAAGTTTGTGTCAAATAGTGCTGGCTTACTCCAGCTGGGGAGCAGGATGCCTGCTCTCAGCTTCATCAGGACCCCTCTGTCACTCACCAGCTTTGTGACCTCACACTTGGGGATGCCAGCTTCTCTCACTGATCTTACTGCCTGGCCATTGATTTGCATGTGACCCTGGCCCTAGACAGAGAGAGTCCCAAATGTCAGAGCTGGAGAGGACCCCAGCAATAACTGCATTCATGCAGAGAACTGAAAATGGTGGGGGAGAACGCTGAGTTTCTGAGCACTTTCCCAGGGGACGATCAAGATAGGTACCATCACTCAGATGATTCTGATGGACTAGGCATACTGTGCATGTCATGGCAGCAGCTTCTTACTCCTCACTATGAGTGTGTGGTACGTGTCACAAAGGAGAACTCAGAGGTCAGACAAGTTATGTGACTTAAACAGGGTCATAGGGAAGACAGTTGAAAGGCATTTGGGTCTTGGTTTTTCTGATTCCATTTCCATCAGACGTCAGTTTGGAGCAGCTGTCTTTTGGAGTCCCTCTAGCCCTACACTTCTGTGGGTCTTCACACTTGATCTTTCTGGACCATTTCTCCATCGTCCCTCCTTTTCTCCCTTGAACTTGGGCAGGACCACACTCCTCTGCTGCAGAAATGCCCCCAAGATTAGCCTAAGTAGCATTTGCAGCTCTTGGTAAGTTTCAAAATTGTCCAGTCCAGTTCTAGATTGGGGGTAGTCAGAGAGGAGTAGCTATGGCAACTGTTGCCAGCCAGGACAGGTGCAATTTAACTTCAGTTAATGGTCTCTCTATGCACAATTATAATTTAGTATAAGAAGTCAGAAGTGGCAAAGAAGCTGTATGAAGATTTCTAGTGGGTTGACAGTAATTACCAAATAATCGTTATGGGAATAAATGGGCTTCTGTGTTAGTGAAGAGTTTTATTGTTTCTTTAAAAAATATTTGGGAATGAAGATCAAGGTCTCATATTCATCACTTAAATCCCCAAGAACCACAGGTCCACAAGGTATTAGAGCAAGGACTCTGTAGATCAGCTGAGTCAAATAACTGCCCACAGGAGAGATCAATAGAAAACACCCCAAGAAAGACTTAAAGACAGTCACCCAGGTTTTGCTTGCCCACCCTCAGCAGATGGAGGCACATACATTGAGTTGAAGACAAATTCATTATTTCTAGATGGCTCCATGGTATTAAGAGCATGGATTCAAGAGGTGACTCTCTGGGTTCAAATTCTGGATCAACCCATGGCTTTAGCTTGTTCCTGAATCTCTCAGTGCTTCTATTTCCTCATCTGTTGAATAGGCACAATTGTGGTGCTAAAGTCTTGGGTGGTTGTCAGCACTCAGTAAGGTGATGTACACAGAGCACCCGGCCACGGCAACTGCCTAGTGAATCGTTACAGGGGGTTGTGGTTGCTGTCATTGCTATTATTATGAACCTGAGTGCGCTCTGTCTCATTGTGTGATGCTTGATATCACAGAGCCTTTTCTGTGAATGTCAGCAGTGTCTTCCCCGAGCCTCAATTATATGTGTCCCACTGTCAGCTTCTCAGTTCAGTCACTCGGTCGAGTCCGACTCTGCGACCCCACGAACCACAGCACGCCAGGCCTCCCTGTCCATCACCAACTCCCTGAGTTTACTCAAACTCATGTCCATTGAGTCGGTGGTGCCATCCAGCCATCTCATCCTCTGTCATCCCCTTCTCCTCCTGCCCTCAATCTTTCCCAGCATCAGAGTCTTTTCAAATGAGTCAGCTCTTCACATTAGGTGGCCAAAGTATTGGAGTTTCAGCTTCAGCATCAGTCCTTCCAATGAACATCCAGGACTGATCTCCTTTAGGATGGACTGGTTGGATCTCCTTGCAGTCCAAGGGACTCTCAAGAGTCTTCTCCAACACCACAGTTCAAAAGCATCAATTCTTNTTTATTGTGATCCACACAGTCAAAGGCTTTAGCGTAGTCAATAAAGCAGAAGCAGATGTTTTTCTGGAACTCTCTTGCTTTTTCAATGCTCCAACCGATGTTGGCAATTTGATCTCTGGCCCCTCTGCACTTTCGAAATCCAGCTTGAATATCTGGAAGTTCACGGTTCACATACTGTTGAAGCCTGTCCTGGAGAATTCTCCGCATTACTTTACTAATGTGTGAGATGAGTGCAATTGTGTGGTAGTTAGACCGTTCTTTGGCATTGCCTCTCTTTGGGATTGGAATGAAAACTGACCTTTTCCAGTCCTGTGGCTACTGCTTCGTTTTCCAAATTTGCTGGCATATTGAGTGCAGCACTTTCACAGCATCATCTTTCAGGGTTTGAAACAGCTCAACTGGAATTCCATCACCTCCACTAGCTTTGTTTGTACTGATACTTTAACTTTGAAGGATGATTCTGTTGCTAACCATTGATAACCATTGATCTTGCTTGACTCCACCTGGTAGATGAGGAAACTGGAGAGCAGAGAGGGGACGACACTCACGTTCCCGAGTCAGGCTGTCAGATGTAGCCATAAACACACACGATGCCAGTAAAATTTGAATGTCAGATGGAAAAAATGTCATCTCTAACAGAAGCACATCCCAAACATTCCAAAGGGGCGTACTTGTTTACCTGTCATTCAAATTCTGGGTTATATCTGGCAAGCCTATCCCCAGGTCACATGACAAGCAGGTTCCAGAAACTGGGCTGGGAGCTGGGTCTCCTGAGTCTTACTTTACTATTCTTTTCACTAGACCAAGGATTTCAGGGACGCAGTCTGTGTACTTCCCTCCATTCCTCCTGTGTCCAGGGCAGCCTGTATTTGGTAATTGTGGAATCTCTCCTCGTGAGCTCCACCTGGACCTCAGCACTCCTTGCTTGATGAAGGCTGCCCTTCCTCATAAAGTCCATTTGCATCCCTGGCAGGAGATGCTGCTGCTGTGTCCTCAGAGTTCCATGGAGTGAGTCTGTTCTACCTCCCCTGTCTTGTCCAGGGGCCTTACTTGTGGCTGACCCTTTCCACATTGTAAGCCAGTGCGTACCCTAGTCCTGGAACCGATGGCAATAAAGTTTGCTAGATGAGGCAGCACAGCCGCCAACAGACTCCGGGAGGAGAAATCATTTCTGATGCTCTCTTCATAAATAAGAGCAGAGAAAACGAAACCAGTAAGAACCGGGTTCAAATCTGGAATGGGGCAGGGAGAGGCCTGCCCACATTTGAGGCTGAACTGGGTCTCCTTATTTTCATTTCTTACAAACACATCTGAGGTTGGCCCTGGCAGGTAAGTAGGTGAAGTGGGCCAGACAAGAGTCACGAACAAGAGCTCGCGTGGGCCCCATGCTCCTCAGGCCTGGCTGCTCTTTGCCCAGTGGGCATAGGAACCTGGGCTGGCCAGATGTTCCCATTTGTCTAAAGAAGTCTAAATCTGGATCATTATATGAAATCTTGTTTCATAAATAATGACTTCACCTCTTCCCAAGGACCTCATGAATGGCAGCAAAACAGCTGAGGACAGCTTCAGTTTCAGGGGGGACAGCAGGTCAGGACCCTTCCTTAATATTCCCATGGAGGATTTACCTGCCTCCGAGCTCTAAGCCATCCCAAGCCGGCCCACCAGGAGGCCTCGCTCCCTGTGCTGGGAGCCTGGGATAAGGTGGCCCCCACCTCACTCAGAGCGACAAAAGCAGAGAGATTAATAAAGATTCCAGCCCTGCTGATCTATCATCTTCTGGCATCAAATTACACACGTATCCCATTATCATTACAGAGCTTTTGGGTTAATTGCAAATCAGGGAGTTAAGATTATTAATGTGAGTGGAAGCTTATGGGGGTAAGGGGAGGGCTCAGACCCAGCTGGCCGCTGGCTGGCCCCTGGCTGGGGTTGGGGGGGGCCTCCCACCAGCTGTTGACCTCCTACTCTCTCCTACTTCGGCCACACTCCACACCTCCCCCCTACCGGTTTAGGCACGTGTCTTGCAACCATTTCCCAGGAACTCTGCAGAGGAGCATTAAAAGCAAATGTGCTCATTACACCTGATGGCGTACAAGCCAGGCAGAGGAAATTAGTAACGATTAGGGCATCATTAGAAGGAGATGTCTCTCTTCACCCAAAATATTGATGGCAAAAAACCCAGCCGTGCAGGTAACAAATGGATGAGACTCAGACACACAAAACTGTTGTGATGATCAATGATGTCCCGAATATACCCCAGACATCACCCAAACAGAACAGATAGCAGCTGTTCCAGGTCTTTTTAGCTGTTGCAAAAAAGTATTTGGATGTCCTGGTACATTCTTTTTATCGTAGTGTTTTACCAAACTCCCTAGGACAGTAAAGTAGAACACCTGAGTGATGTGGATTTTTAATTTTCAGAGGTCACAGAGGGCTGCCCTAAGCTGCCTTGATAGCTCAGTTGGTAAAGAATCCTCCTGCAATGCAGGAGAGCCCAGTTCGATTCCTGGGTTGGGAAGATCCGCTGGAGAAGGGAAAGGCTACCCACTCCAGTATTCTGGCCAGGAGAATTCCATGGACTGTATAGTCCACAGGGTCGCAAAGAGTTGGACACGACTGAATGACTTAAACTTCACTTCACTTCAAGCTGCCTTCAAATGCAAGTTGTTTAGGCTGCATGATGCTTTGAAAAATTAGAATAGATTGCTGATGTGGGTATAAACATCCAGATTTCTTGATTCTCTATAAAAATTGGACTAGTGCTGGGCCCAGGACTCTATACAGACAATAGCCGACAAGAGGTGAGTATTGAATGTCCTGTTAAATACACTACCAGTTTTACCACAGTCTGCACCACTCCCATCTTATTCCCAACAACATGACAGAGTGGCAGTTCCCATTTATTATAGCCCTTATTATACAATATCCCTTGGCCCTCTCCGTTTACTGAATAGCTAACTCTGTGGGCATTTGAGTTTGTAGATCATCTTATCCTTTCTCTTAAGACAGATGTAGTTCTTAAAAACACAGTTTGGATTGTGTTCCCCATTTCCTCAAAATCTTCAGAGTTCTTCCTCCCATCACACATCACCATCACCAGCATCACCACGTACCTGCAGGATGAAGGCCATGCAGCCATCTAAAACCCTCTGTGACCCTGACCTTCTTACTTGCCCCACTTCATCACCTACAGTGCTCTGTGCACTTAGATCTCTAGCTACTCTGGACTGCCTCCCACATGGATGCACACAGCTTCTCTCACCACTCAGACTTTGATGCCACGGTCCCTCCAGCCTAGAAAGTTTACCCCTTGTTTATCCTTTCCCAGGGAAATTTTCTGCATCCTTCAGGGCCATCTCCCATTTTCCATTCTGGCCCTTCAATCAGGATGGCACTCCAGAATGATTTGCATGCCCCTCTTTACTGCTTCTCAGCTACCCACTGGCCTATTTGCCGGACTCTCTTGCACCAAAGCAGGAACATCTCCAGGGCAGGTTCCTGCCTTCCCATCCATGCTACCCACAAGGATGCTGTCAGCTTTGTTCTTAACTACACAGTAGACCTCTATTCAATGGATTTGCTTGGCAGTAGACAAATTTCTTTTTCCTCATGCAGTGTGTGGTTTCTAATTGAGATCTCAGACTTTGCTGATATTCTGAAGAGTGTTAATTCCCACCAAGTGCTTTAATGAGGTCTGGGGGTCCTGTCTAGGGCCCACCAGCCTGAGGTTTATTGTCTCTCACTTCTTGATCTAATCTGGCAGTTTGTTTTTAGACTGGCTCTTCCCAAGGTCCCCACACTGCTGAGGGGTGTTCCATTCTCCTCGATGAACCAATTTAATACAAAACACATTTACTAGGTTATTAGAATAGTTTAAGAGAAGACCACAAAGTTGGCTTAAACTGATCACTCAGAATATACAGGAAAACAACTCTGCTGGATGATGAAGACAATTTCCGACAGGGACTCACAAACTGATCTCCATACAGGAATTGCACAGATCCTGAGTATGGGCTTCCCAGGCGGCACAGTGGTAAAGAATCCACTTACCAGAGCTGGAGACACAAGAGATGTGGGTTTGATCCCTGCGTTGGGAAGATCCCATGAAATAGGAAATGGCAACCTGCTCCAATATTCTTGCATGGAAAATTCCTTGGACAGAGGAGCCTGGCCACAGAGAGTTGGACATGACTGAGCTACTGACCTCACACTAAAGGTATGGCACAATTTTATGGCACAAGCTACACACCTGTGTAACCGCACTCAGCTCAAGAATCAGGACATAGCAGCAGGACCAAAGTCCCCTTCAGCGTCCTAGTCACTAAACCCTTCTCTAAGAGTAACCACAGCACGGACTTTTCATGGAAAAATAGTTTTCTCTGCTTTTGTACTTTAGATAAACTCATATGGTATGCCCTGTTTTGTTTCTTTCACTCAATACTATGCTTTTAAGTATTAAGTATGCAGGTAGGCTGGGAAAGATTGAAGGCAGGAGAAGAAGGGGACAACGGAGGATGAGATGGCTGGATGACATCACTGATTCAACGGACATGAGTTTGAGCAAGCTCCGGGAGACAGTGAAGGACATGGAAGTCTGGTGTGCTGTGGTCCATGGGGTCACAAAGAGTCAGACAGGAGTGAGTGACTGAACAACAACAATAATGCTTTTACCATTCATCCATACTTTTGTATGTATTGGTTTCATCCATTCTCACTGCCTTGTAGTAGTTTTCTGCCATGTGAATATAATACCCTTTATTGGTCTGTTCTTCCTTGATGAACATTTGGGTTTTTGTTTCCACGTTTGGCTGCTGTGGACATTCTAGTCTATGTCTTACAGTAAATGCACAGATGCTTTCTTGCAGAATATAGCCCTAGGAGTGGAATTGCTGGGTCATAGACTGGTGCGTATTCAGATTTGGTATTTATTGCCAAAAATTTTTCCAAAGTGGTTGTTACTCATTAATTTTTAAGATTTATTCCTTCTTTAATTAATTCGTTCAGTAATGACTTAACACCTGCTTTGAGTAAGCCATTGTGCTAATTGCTGGAGAAACCATAAAGATGGATAAGAACTAGTCATGACATTCATGTATTTTAAAGCTGTCAGTGGATATTAATTGCCTGTAGGATAACTCTAAATACCTTAGATTGGCACACAAACCACTCATCCATGTAGAGTTATGTTATTTCACCTGGCCACAGGCTTGAAACTTAATGCCTTACCCTCTTCTTCATCTGGCAATTGTTTCCCGTTCCTTGAGGCCCAGATCAAATGTAACTGCCTGACTGAAGCCCCCTTCTTCACTCATGTAAGCTTCCAAACCACCCTCTATCCTAGTTTTCTCTCACTATAAAACAATGCTTGATCACTTCTCTATTCAGCTGAGACGTGAGCATTTACTTATTTTTGTATCTCCAGCATCTGGTTCACAGAACAGTCCCAGAAATGTTTCCTGAGTGAACCAACGATTTCCAAGTGTACATTTCCTATTCCTTCAGTTCAGTCCCTGGCTTTGATTTGGGGTGCATACCTCCAGGTCACAGACAACTAGACCCCAGTGGTGGTTCAAGGGAGAGCAGGTGATGTGATCCTACCCCATGGAGTAGACTTCAGGGCTTCGGTGAGAGCTTCCAGTAAAGAGAATACATGGCTGGAGCATCTGACTGCCATCTTGCTACCAGGTAAAGTCTGAGACCAGAGCCAACTTGGGGAAGGGAAATATACATATGTACACACCCCACTCACTCATATATGCCTATATGATATATATGGATATAAGAATAAATGAATAAAATTCTACTTTCCCCATTAAGTCTTCCAAGCCTATTCCCCATGCCTCCCTTCTTCTTATTCATCTTCACTGCACCCAAGATAAGTTCCTACAACTGTATACTTCATCATCTCCACGCCTTTCATGGGTACCTCTCATCTACCCAGTATGATTGCAATTTCTCTTGTGAGTGGGATTCTAATTCCTCTGCATATAAATACTTTCTTTTCATGTAAGGGAGGGAGAGGGAATAACATATACCAAGAAGTGTGCTAGCACTGAGCACTTTGAACAATACAAAGTTTTAACATCAAGGAGGTTATATTTTAGTTAAGGGAGACAGACCAAAAACAAACTAACCAAACTCCTAATTTAT